CGTCATCGATGCTCCATATCTGTAAAAAAATGTGCATTAGCGCATCAATTCCTTACTCGTTAAAATTCATTTCTCGTATACTGCTTTCATGACGTACCGTCGTTTTTACATCATTATCAATGTTGCCAGCATGCCGGCAAACGATTTGAAAAGCAAAATAAAGCTCTAACCATTTGATGTTAAGGCCTGCAAAGAGCATTTCCTAAAACATCTCTGAGCATCTATCAGACACAGGGATTCGCGTAGATCTTGCAGCATTCTACATTCGGCTATTTCGATCTGAAACGTGACACAATGGTGGAATATACCTGTGGCAGTCGCAGTGAGTCCTAGGTACCATTGCTTTATATCGAAATTTTCACTGCGATGCGTGGATCTCAACCGTCTATTTCATTAGCATCGCATGACGCTAAAAATAACGTGTCTAAATAAAGCGCCATGTCAGTGAGCCCAGCCGGCCATAATTGATAGGCATCCACTCATACCCACACGTGATAAACAGACAGCGGCTGTAATTGTCTGGTCCGTTATCGGAGCCAGCGGATCGCTTCCTCGTGTATTCGCTGGTTACCGTCCGACGCAGTCGGGCTGTGACCGGCCGATGAAAGCGAACAGCCTCGCCCAATCACGCCACCACAGGGCTCTCAGGGAGCCGGGAGGCTGGAGCGGCGTGGAGAGCCGGCGCAGCGGTGTGATGGGTCAAACGCAGGTGTCGGGCTCGGCACGACAAGCTACGAGACAAGACGACCACTTCGGTTGATGTCAATGTCTATGCCAAATGTCCGTTGCTAGCAATCGCCCGCAGTTGGTGGCGGTCGCTAACAGCCAACACCTCAGCCCCCCCCCCCCCCCCCCTCGAGCCGTGCAGCTCGGAACTCGACCGGTGGCGGCGACGGGAGCCGGCGACGGGAGCCGGCGCGAATCGGCGCACTCCCACGGCTCCGTTAGGTGGCCGCGCTGCCGGGCTCCGGCTTCCGGCCGGGCGTGCGGCGGGAGCACTGGCCAAATAACGACTCGACGGCGGCCGCGCGAGCCGCGCGGCACTGCGTGCGGATCGCGACACCCCCGCAGCCGTGCGCTCCAGCGGGGCCCGCGTGCCAGCCGGAGCCGAGGCGGCCGTACCGCCCCGTCAGCTGACGTTTGTCACGCTCGAGACCGACGCTTCGGTCGGAGGTCCCGCTCTTGGTGTGCACGGTCCCAGTGATCCGTCGTATTAGTGCATCTCAATTACGGTCCGCGTTATGTTTGAGATGGGACGATCATTGCGTACTGCAATTTTACAAAAAACTTATTCAGATTAATATAAAAATCGCATTTATAACAGCATAACTGCATCGCGGTGATTACGACAAGTACTATGAAGAGTGAAAAATAAATCCCTGAAGGCATTCGAGCCACCACCAATCAACAAGACCGACCTCTGTTCCGCCTCACATGGCCTGCATCATCTCGTGGCCATCTGCAGGCGGTGGACTCCGGTGGC